CGCCCCATTAAACCCCCTATTTCCCCTTCCCATAAAACCACTGCCATGTGGCAGGGGTCCAGCTCCCTCCCTGCCTCACGGGGGTGGGTTTTAGGACCCCCTAAACCCCATTAAAGCCCCTTTACCCCCCCAGAAAACCACGTACGTGTGGCGGGAGCCACGGCTGTGCCACGGGGGGGTCGCGCTGCCCCCGCAGGAATCGCGGCCGTGTCGGAGCGTGGATTTTTGGCTCAAAGTGGGAATTTCCACGGGCACGGGCCTGGCCGTGCTGCTGGCCGTGCTCGCCGCCTATTTCTGGAAGAAGCCCCAAAGGGGGGTGACAGCCGGGGGGGGGGGGGGGGGGGGGGTGTCGCTGTCGCCTCGGGGGGTGATGGCACCTCCCGCATACCCAGGCTGGAATACAAGTATTCCAAGCTGGTGATGGACGCGGCGGCGCGGGAGGGAGAGGCGGCGTCCCCCGACAGCTGCGCCATCATGGAGGGCGAGGATGCCGAGGACGAGCTGCTCTTTGCCACCGAAATGTCGCTTTTTGGGAAACTTCGGGCCCTGAAGGCCAAGGTAAGGGGGGTTGAGGGGGCACAGCCTGGGAGGAGCCGTCGGAGGAGCCGCAGCAGGGGAGGGGCTTGGGGGGTGCCCCGGGCCTCAGTTCCCCCCCGGGGGGGTCTCCATGTCTCAGTTTCCCCCCACAGGCTGTCCCCGTGCCTCAGTGTCCCCACCCTTGGGGGGGGAATGTCTCTGTGCCTCAGTTTCCCCATCACCAGAGGCCTCCATGCCCCAGTTTCCCCACTGGGGGGTCTTTGTGCCTCACTTTCCCTGCTTTTGGGGGTCTCAGTGCCTCAGTTTCCCCACTGGAGGGGGGTGATCCCGTGCCTCAGTGTCCCCTTCCTTGGGGTCTCAGTGCCTCAGTTTCCCCTGGGGGGGGAAATCTTGTGCCTCAGTGTCCCCACGAGGGGGTCCCCGTGCCCCAGTTTCCCCCCCACAGGCTGTCCCCGTGCCCCAGTTTCCCTTCTCTGGCAGGTCTCTGTGCCTCAGTGTCCCCACGGGGGGGTCCCCGTGCCCCAGTTTCCCCCCCGCAGGCTGTCCCCGTGCCTCAGTGTCCCCACCCCACAGCGGATGCCAGACGGGTTCGACTCGGTGCCGCTCAAGAGCTCGTCCAGCAGCATCGACCGGGAGCTGTGACGGGGCAGGGTGGGCCCCCTGTGCCCCCCACCCCCCACCGTGGCCTTAGGGACCCTCTTGGAGCTGGAGCTCCCTCATGGCTTTTGTACGTCGTGTCCCCTCGTATCCCCACCCCTGTGACCCCCCCCAAGTGCCCCAAAATGCCAAATACAGGAGTGGGGTTTGTACCACGGCTCTGGGGGTGCAGGCACGGGCGGGCACACGGGGAGGGGGGTGAGGGGGAGGTTGGGCAACTCATCCCAGACAACTGGCGACAGTCCTGGGGGTTTGGTTCCCTTCCACTTGTGCGTTTTGGGAGGTCAAGGAGGTGGGAAAAGGTCCCTTGGCAGATTTGGGAGCAAATATTTGCGTCCAAAGTCAGGCAATTCTAGAGGGTTGCTTGGGAAACTCAACCTCGGCCAACTGGAGCTCCCACACAACAGGGATTGTCCGGAATTCTTGAGTCCAGCTTACCGTGCATTCCAAGATGTTGGGAGAGGAAAGAGAGAGGGAAGGAGAAGGGAAAGGAGAGAGCAGCCTTCAGAGAAACCCCTTCACAAAGCCCCAAACCCCCCCCTACCCCCCCAACACCCCCCAAGCCCCCTCAAAACCCCCATAACTCCTGAACTCCCCTCTAAGCCCCACCCCCACCAATTGAAACCCCCCAATCCTCTCAAACTCTCCCTACTCCCTGAAACCCCTCCATAATCCCCCCAATACATCTGAAGCCCCCCCAAGTCCCCCCATAACTCCCCAAACCCCCCAAAAGCCCCCC